AAAAAAAAAAAAAGTAAGCAGGCATACTTGGTCAGAACACTGAAATTTGTGCAATGAATTTACATCATAAAAATTATTACCTCAATGTTTGAAGCTTTTTCACATTTGAAAAGAGGTAGGCACAACCTTGACAAGAGATCCTTTGAGGAAGAAGACTGAGGGAGATGTCCTCCTCTTTGTCCAGCAGTTTAAAAACATTGCCAACAGCTTCGCAGAGGCGACTTGGCAGCATGTCTATCAAAGAAATGCTAAAACCAAGGGATCTTAAAAGCTCAGCAATCTGTTTTGGATTCCATTCGCTGTCTGCTGAAAGGACTTCACACACAGACTGGAAAAACTGCTCATTACAGCTATAAAGAAATAGCAAGTTGCATGTAAAGTTACTACACAAATCAAACAAGAAAATGCAAGGAAGCACACTAAAATATGACAACTTAAAGAGATAGTCCAGCAAAAAAATTTAATGCTGTCATCTTTCACTCAACCTCACGTCGTTTCTAACCTGTATGACTTTCTTTCTTCAAAAGAAAAGTTTTTTATAAATGTCTCAGTGTTTTGTCCATACAATGCAAGTCAAATATAACCAAAACGGTTTGGTTATCAACATTCTTCAAAATAACTTTATTTGTGTACTACAAAAGAAATAAAGTCATACAGGTGAATCAATTATGACAGAATTTTCATTTTTGGATGAACCTTTTACACCACCAAATGAAACATCATGCATTTTAAATTTGTCTTAGCAAATCAACTCACCAAAGGTGTGAAATATAGGGTAAACAATTTAGGAAACTCCTAAGTTTTTCTCTTTCACATGACCAGCTTATGAGCTCCACAGTTTTTTTGATGGCCTGAAGCTTCAGTAGTTCAGTAAGAGCAAAAGTCTTCTCTAGTTTTTGTAGGTCCAATGTCCATAAAGCAGGGGCAACCTGAAGAATGGGCTTCAATGCTGGTAGTGCAGTCTTCCATGATGAACTTTCCTTCAACTGGGTGAAGAGACCCATAAGGAAAGAGCTCTGCATGTCTTTGCTGTCTTCAGCGAAGGGAAAGGTTGAGTAACGGCATGCTGTAGAAAGGCTTCTTAGTTTCCCCCCTCCACTTTCAGATGCAAGAATGAAAAGATCAACAACAATCTTAACAATTTTGTGGATGTCTTTGGGCTGTCTGAGAGCAGCACTGAACCTGCATTGTATAAAAAAAAATGTTAAAATATATATATTTTTTACTTAAGACCTATACCTAGTTGTTTTAAATAAACAAATAAAAAAACTCACCTCATTTCTGTAATGTAGGGCATACATTGAAGAATTAGTTTAAGTTCACTCAGCTCATATGTGACATGATCTAGTTCAGCGGGCTTCCTTAAATT